AATCTATCTGGATAACAGCAGACTGACTGCTCGTAAAATATACGACAGGTCTGGACCACACGTGAATTTTGTTCGTATCTGGAAAAAAAAATCTTAGAATACAAGAAAATTGGTGAATGCCAAGTTCTCCTAAACCACTCGTACTCACAAGTTAAAAACAAATCTGTTCATACGAACGGTTCTTGCATGAGGCCCAATGACCTCAGACCACAGAAGCAGAGGAATGATACAGATATGGCTGACATAAAAGGAAAAAAAAAGCACAGCGTTATCTAACCAAAATAATCCAAGTAATTCCCCCCAAAAAAAACTAACTAACTATCTTTCATTCTGTTCTGCATAAAAATGCGTCTAGTTTTATATCATCGACATATAACCAGAAATAATCTAAATCGACAAGCGGCACTTTTTGCTGACAAGCAGATATGAACATCCTCAACTTCTTTAATGACCTTAGAGAGCATCAGTGTGTGGGTAGGATCACTCTGAAATAAAATCCACTGCTTATTTCCCTTCAAGTTCAAGATGTCTTCGCATGAGTAAAATAAATAAATAAATAAAATAAATAAATACATAAAGAAAGAAATAAAAAGGGACTAATGCTTAAATGTAATCTAGAGTTAAAATGCTGACAGAGAACAGACAAAATGCAGGACGTCTTGTTCAAGACCACTCCCTCCCCGGGAAGAACAGTCCTGCGTGCTGGCTCATCTCAACTCAGCAGTTTATTTATAACAACCCACAGTGAGTATGCTCATGAGAATATCTCCTCATGTGAACCACGCGCACACACACACCTGTGCTGAAAAACAGGACTACTTTTCTGTGAGCCCTATCACCTGGGTACGTACGCAACAAAACAGTGTGCTGCATAACTGCATCGCCTGGCTCGCTGGTGGAAAACACCACATGGACACAAACTAAGAATGAGGAACTTTCAAAGCTAACAAAGCTGGGAGGAAGAATAGGGGAGGAAGCTATTTCAAAGAGAGATGAACTTACTAGGCAAAGCTGAGTGGATGGGGTGGGAGTGGGGGGG